GGTTCGCAGACACCCGGTGATCCACGAGTACATTTTTTAAAAACGTTTTCAACATCACAACAAAATTCACAAAAAAAAAAGAGTCACATAAAGAAATATGCTTATAAGCGTATTTCTTTATGTGACTCTATTTTTTTAATTTAAAATGTTAAACTTTATTCGTGTTAAATAACATTTTGTTTCTCTTGTATTAAATAAAATACTAGCTAGACGGCCGGATGACCAAGCGGCTGTAATGGTAGTCTACCACTCTGGGGAATTTTTCGGGACGGAAAGTGGTCGTCGAGATGTTGGATTCCTCGTCCGGCTATTCCACTGTGGGCCTAGCCGAACCCCTAACGGGCTTGCTAAAAAGATCTCCTTAGTACCCACATGGCAGAAAATACTAGCTAAAAATCTAAAATAAATTTTGGAACACCACATTTATCTCCCCTTTGTCATAAAATTTAAGAATCACTTACATAGTGAATTTTATAATTATTTAAATTTGATCTAAAGAATGTGAGACATTTGTTGTGCGTCCGCGGGCCAACAAAACTGATCGGCAGATGGATTCACACCCAATCTCCCACAGCGGTTATATGAAACTGTTAACCTACCACTATTGGCATTCGGAATCCAAGTCAGAGCATCATAATTATGAGAGGTAGAACGATTTCGGAAAATTATCATCCATTATTTATACTCGTTTATTCTGTTGAGAGTCAGGTCCTTCCACAATAAGAAAAACTGCGGCATATCATACATATTTAATATGCTAGGGTTTAGTGTTTACAAACTATCCAGTTAATTCGAATAAACAGGAAATAATACAATAATGGCCCCCAAAAATATAATAATATATCATCACTTCAAATCATTAATTAAATCTTACAAAAATATTAATTCAATCTGTTACAAACGAGAAACCTGCATTAATTAATGTAACAAATTTTTAATTATTATTAAAGTAAGTTAATAAATAGTACATATTTTAAAAGTGTATATATCTTAAAGTGTATATATCTTAACATGTATTTCGCAGAATTTGGTATAAATTGAAGCGAAATGTTTCAAAAATTGAAAATAACAAAGTTCAAAGTACTGTACTAATCTGATCCTGGAAAAATAAAATTTTAATGTTTCCAGTTCATATTTTTCGATAAAGTAACAGTTTGCTTTCTACTCTAGGAAAAAAAAAAAAATTATGCTTTATATTTTTTCAAATATCGTTCGCTGTTTACTTGCTATATATTATTCTAATTCGATTCCAGTTCTCGCCTGGTATCTGGCTTTCTCGTTTATAACAAAATGGCAAATCTAGCATTATAGTGCCCAGAGTTAAACGTTTCGTTATTCATTACAGTACATAGTTTAAATTGTTGAAATGTTTACTTAATAGCAATTCATCAAATATATAACTAAACTAATAATATAAATATAATTAAGAAATCGTCAAATTATAAGTTTTAATTGTCTGTCTTTTTAACTTAATGCCAGAATCCACAATACTAAAATTTCCACTAATTGTAGTCTTACCATTAGTATTAGTTATTGTTATTAATGTTATTGGTTAGTTATCATCATCGTTACAGATGCGTCACGAAGTGATTACAAAACGCATATTCTGCTGTAAGTTCCGAAACTATTGACGAAAAATGTTTAATGTTAAATAATTGTTTATTTAAAGTAAAATTTTTATTGCTTATTTGAACATGGAAATATAGAGAAAATGGTGATATCAAATAAAAGCTAAAAACAATACAATAAAAGCAACTGCTGTAGTAAAAGTATGTAAAAGATATGCTAAGCGAAATACAGTAGAACCTCCATTATCCGGATTTTCGATTATCCGGATTGTTCAAAATAAACAAAAATTTTACGAATTTGCTGATTTGCACTTGGCAAATTACGACACTCTTTATGTACGTGATGGAACGCATAACTTTTTTTGTTTCAACAACGTCTCACCCATCACAGTGGTCGTAAACTCTTAAATATATTTTACGTCGTAATAAAAATATAACTTGACATACGTATTTATAAATAATTTATATTCAAATTACATCATTTCTATGACCAAGGGCGGCGTAAGGCATGGACGACGTGGGCCACCGCCTATGCCTCGCAGTCCGAAGGGCCTCGCGCCGCGAAGGTTTATGCATTACTTAAAAGCCGTGAACGCGACGAAAAAATTTTACTCGTCATAAAACGATAAATAGTTTGTCAAATTTTTATTCATAAAAATGCAGTTTCAACTGCTTTTTATTTTATAAAATCCGTCTTCTTGTGCCACCAGAGGGCCTTTTAAACAATAGGTAGTCTGTTAGCGTTGGTCAGCAGTAGTCCAAATGTAATACGAACGTTTGTTTCTTAAAAATGTGATCACGATTTAAATACAGTATTTACTTTTAATATTACCGATATGTCATCGAAAAGAAAACGTGTTGTATTATCATTAAAAGACAAATTAAAGTATTTGTTTCGATTATCCGGATTTTTCCTTATCCGGACTACCTTCATCCCCAATTAGTCCGGATAATCGAGGTTCTACTGTAGTTCTAAAAAAGTTTGAATACAAAATTCATATTGTAAGAATGAAAAGTTACGTTTATGGTTGAAACGGTTGAGGCCAGGGGTTGCATATTTAAACCAGTAAAACTAAAGTTTCGAAATGTTACCGGTTTACCGAAAAATTTAAAATTTTGATTACAAATGCAAAAATTAGTGCACTAGTAATTGTTTATGTTAATCACTGATTCATTAGTGAGTCAGTTTTTGTCTTTAATATATAAAAATATAATTATACGTTAAAGTGTATATAAATAAATATTTGACTTCAAAAAATTACATATTGCTGTTGATAAAAAATATCAAATTTCCAGTATATTTACCGATGCCTTTTTACCTGATTACCGGAAATCTGTTAAAATGCATCGGTATACTGGTAAATTTATGCATTTTATTGCATTATTGTCAATATAATCCCTAGCTGAGCGCGTATATCTGAGTTTTGGGATCCAAGTATCCAAATTCGAATCTTCAGAAATTTGATGAGTGGCCCTGGGTGTGGATATGTCGGGCTTTTTATCAATTATATCGCCCCTCTGTAAGCCCGAATGAACCCAAGCATAAAGATTTGATACCTACAATACAAAATAAAAAAAAATATGTTTTACAAAATTTGGCATAATCGATTAATTTATCATAGCAAGGAATCGACATCTTAATGTCTATAATTTCACATGCTACGAACAGTTCTAACCTACAGTAAAGTCGATCAGGACACTTATAGGAAATTAAGAACGACACTCTGACCTAAATTTATCTATGATAAATTGCGAGGATCCAGATCTCCATGTTCGACAGACATGAATCTCACAATATGTTATCTGATAACATAAAAATTCGTGGTTTTGGATCTTACAGAATTGATCGTAGCGAGCTTAAAATACATTTTTGAAAATGTAGACTTGTAAAAATAATAATAATAATAATAATAAAGTTAAACAGTGATTTATCAATATTTTATATTGTTTATTGGGAGGCAGAAGATAATGATGATAGGATCGCACTGATCCATATTTTGGAATTTTGATCTTTAAACTACTGTTCTTTATTGCAAAATGAAACAGATAAAATAATCATCATTCTTCTTATCGTTTTTATATAAAATTAGAAAGTCAATATTATCTTCATTAAATATAATCTAATGATTTTATCGTTACGCAATTGATCGAGTGCTTAATAAACAATTTTCTTTAAATGATGTCATTCAATATATCCTATATTAATAAAATAACAGCTTTGAACTTACGAAATAAACATCAAATGTCATATCGAAGTAATGTGGAAAGTGAAAGATAAACAGTAAAGATATTAATATATTTGTATATGTTTGTTGTAGGATTATAATATTTATCTATTAACTTCGCCAAATATTTTTAAGTATCTTTCGTAAAATTTGTATTGAATTAATGACTTTTACATATAAGAATTTATGTTATAAGATTTTAATACTATCTTATTTTACATACTTGAATTAAATTTTATATGATTGATTTCGATATATCTTAATTAATGCATTGTATCAGATAATTTCGTAACAATTACATCTTCATTTGTAATCCTTCCGAACATAAAACCTACAATATTTTATGTATTGCGTTCAAATTGATAAAAGTATATGTTGCTGTAATTAAATATTGCTCAGATATCTCATTTTCGGAAATGTTATACGCAATATATGAAAAAAATGTTTATATTTCCATAAAACAGCCGAATCGAGTTATCATTTGCTAATTTATAACAATGAAATTCCTAGACGAAAAATTTAAAATGTACATAAAAATGTGCTAAACTTCTAAATTAGCTTTGTGTCTGAAGACAAACAAAACTAATTTCGAGGCTTATTAGTATATTTTTCTCGTGTCATTGAAAAACAATTAAACACGGACAAAATTTTATATAGTCAGGAAGAACCAATGAAAAAAATTCGACTTTGTTCTTATGCTAACATGCTATGTTAAGAAGACTCTAAATTAGTTTACTTTGTATTTGCCTTCAAATTATTTATATTTTTCAATTTGTATTTTACTTCAAAACACATTAAATGACTACTTAAATGATTTAACCGTAACGTTAACTATTATCGTACAAGAATCACTTTTAAATTCTATATTACAGTTTTTATAGAATATTATGTTGATCTTCATCATGAAGACAATTATCATGTTCTAACTTGAATGTTATGTATTAATTTATAATGTATTATGACGATGATCATAATACACTAAGTCAAATACAACTCTTCACTAACATTGAAATAATTTAGATTAAATATTGACTATTGTATAATATACACATAGATTATGTAACTATTCAGAAATGTAAAAGAAATTTTTATTTTGTGCATTTTTAATTCATAAAAATTATATTATGAAAAGAAAATATTTAACCATTTAACTGCCAATCTAATTAGGCTACATACTATTATATATATATATATATATTAATGGGTAAAACCAAATTTATAATTAAACAATCGTGTGAGAGAATCGATAAATTTCATTAAAATTAATTAAATTGCGACATTGATATTTAACTTTTTTCCTTTATATTTGACTAAAGTGTGTAACCTATTTGGTTCACTTTTATGCAGATTCTGTTTATATTCTGGCAAATAAAAGAATGAAATAATATAAGATATTGTCTGGTTTAATAACTGTATTTAAAAAGAAAGAAAACTGATAAGAAGTTCTGCAGAATAATGAAAATAATAAGTAACATATTTTAGTCAAATATAAAGGAAAAACTGAAGAACGGTCGTAATTATTATGCACATTATTTATTGATAAATTTATATTTACGTTTTATATCAAAAATAAAATTATGTATCTATTACAAAAAAATTTAAATAACTAGTCATTGGTTTGACGATTCTTACTAAACACTCTTACTCTTTGTTATGGTAAAAATATTCTTATGGATACTATGGATTCTTAAGAATATGATCATTTTTATTAAAGACTTTGAGCTATTTTTTGTGAAAAAAATTCTAATCTATAAAAAATAGATTCGAATTTTTTTTAAAGATAAAGTTACCATATCCAACGATAATTATCTGTACCGAATATCATAATTTAAACAATTTTAAAATGTTTATATCGTAAAAAATATCAAAATATTTTACGAACTGATAGAATGTAATAACTTTATCAACAGTTTAAAAATATTTTATTAAAAATTAAAAACATGAAATCCTAATTGTTTTTGGTCTATGTATTCATAAAATACGAATTCTGAAATAATTAAACATATAAATATACTAATGATAATATAACGAGAGAAAGTAAACGTGTTTAACTTAAATAAAATTGTAAATTATATACAAAAAATATAAATCAACAGACCTTTTATATGATCCACAATCATATCTATTCCAGCTTTTCAGGGCCGGCTTTCGAATATCAAATTATTAAAAGTTGTAAGGGTTTATCTCTGAATTCCCGCATATTATATACATATATATACGTATAAATCACACCGAACAGAGATAAGGTACGATAACCATTTACTAATATTTACAATCTATAGTGACGTCTTTTGGCACGTTTTTGAATAAAGCAAATATATTGCGACCCAATTTGTTATCCTATTAGAACTGTTCTATATATTCTACACATATTTAGGTCTAGGTTTAAATAACCTTATAAAATTTCTGATTTTTAATTTATGGATTTAAAAATGTTTACTTTTAAATCTCTAAAATATAGCCTAATATTTATAAAGCTGAGATGTTTTATTACTGGAAATAGCAAGCTATGGTAATGTAAAAAAGGTCTGATGTAAGGAATGTGATTGGATTAATGGGACAGATTACTACTTGAAGTTTATATGTGATATAGTATCAGAGATAGTATAATAAAATCATTTATCTATGTCAAAATTCACGCGTTTGTTACGAATACTTTATCTTGCTCAGAGGATTATCACAGTATCGATAACCTCGACTTTGATTTTTCTATATCCGAAAATATTCATACACAATATATTAACAATCATTTTTTTAAATTTTAAATTAATGATAACATTTCTGATAAAATCAAATAAAAATATTTGTTATTTTACTAACTTAAAAACTTTTATTCTCGAATATTAGACAAAAAATATCAATATTTCGAAAATCCATACACCTATATAAACAATTTACTATATTACACGACAGTAGTTTAACTAATATATTTTTTGATGTAGGACGGTATATGTGTAACGCGTATTAGATTATTATTTTACTAAATTAAATATCCGAATTACAGTTCGTACTCTTACTCTTACTACATAAAGTAGTAATAATGCTAGGTAACCTAGATTCTTTCTAATCTAATAATAATATATTTTTTAAGCTAGACTAAATCTCGATATCATAAACGAATGACATAATTATGTTGACAATATACCACGGCATCGTGTATACTGGGAAAAATACATGGATATTTGACACTTTTGAAAAACTCAGTTTTCGTTAATATATTATGAACAAATGCTGAAATTTAAATATATATTCAATCAATTAAAAATTTTATCATACATAGATTTATTTAAATTATAATTCAACTTACCTGGGCATTTAGTTAATATGAACATGATTCCCCTGGCATGTAATTCATCTCTAATCTAAATTAAAAATTATGTAATTACGTCATTGTTCATTGAATCTGACAAATTGAATATCTTACGAACGTAGAAAGTCTGAATAATTCAATTCTTACCTCCTGAAACGTTTTTGCTGCGTTGATGTCCATTAGTGAAATCGAAGAACAGTCCAGAATGACGTAATTTAAATGTTGATGATTTTCAGAAGGTAATTTGTCATCATCGACTTTTTCTCTGTTTATAAATAAAATTAAAAGATCATAAATTTTACATATATAGGAAAAGCTTTTGATAATGATTAACCATACAGTCTAATACAAAGCTTTATACGTAGGTTTACAATAAGATTTACCTAGCTTATATTCAGTTCATTTAGAAGGGGATCTGATTCTTAAAATCTGAACTGCCGTCTTAATTTAAAAATAAAATTCTAAAATATAATGCAAATATCACAAGTCAAGTATAGCTTCTCACCAAAATAACAAACAATAGCAAGCCCTTAATACTTGAATGTTACGTTAATATCATGTATTATAATTTAAATTTGCATAGGTGGAATTGTACCAAAATATTTCGTGATCATCTTTATCTACGAAAGGCTTATACGATTTATAGATAAGATAAAGCTTAATCACGAAGACATATAAATGCAATAGGTGCAAGTATTTTGTTTGAACAATGAGCAATCGTCAACATTAGAAGATGCATGGTCAATATCACTTTTCTATTCTCGTTAAGCCACTGGATTCATCCTCGGATGGGTAATTTGTTAGGGAAGTATTCGTAAATTTTACAAATACCTTCAATGTTAGATAAGAATGCAAAAATTCACAAATAATAACATACATTTATTAATGTTTTTTGATTATCTGGAATGTGATATTAACGCTCAGAAGACACTTTTATATATTGTTTACAGGACTTATTGCTCTTCTTTAATATATATTTAAAATGTTTTTTAATAAATAATTAATATTTATAGAAAATCTGTAATTAATTGAAAAGTATATAAGTAAAAAGTTATTTTTTAAAGTTAACATAATTAGTTATAATGTTAATACGTGCTTCTTGTTGTTCTTAATTACTTATATTATGCTTGTGTCCACTTTGGATGTTCTTGTGAACTAGGACTTGTTATACTGAGGGAAGAGAAACACACTATTTCCAATTAAAATATATTTATTTCACAAGAACGTTCAAAGTGGACACAAGCATAATATAACTAGTTATAAGTACTCTGTAAAAATTAATTTAACTTTTTTTTTAATATTAGATTAGAAATCTCTTAATTCGTTAAAAATCAAAACAAAAAAAAAAGCTTGTTGGCTTGTTGCAAATAAAAACATTTTATTTTAAAATATGATGAAGTAGAACTGTTTCTAGTATTTAATTTTTTTTAATACATACTATATTATCAGACTTGTTTAATCATTCTACGATGATTTTTTATGTGGGATATGAGAGTGTATCCGAATTTACTGTATTCATATTTTTTTAATATTCTACTGTTTTGTTTGAGTTTATTATTTATATATTTTTATAAAAATATATAAATTTTTATAACAGGCCTATACGTATTCGACTATTATTTACATTTGTTACTTATATTGATTTTATTTACTTGTTCTACCTTTTGATTAGCGCAGCGTGACCTTTTATTTAGATAAAGCCTTCCAGCCATAAGAATTATATCCAACCAACCAAATTATACAAACAAGTTTTCTAAGATGTAAAAATATTTTAAGTACTCCTATTTTAGGATAACTTTTAAAATATTTTGCAAGATTTAAATCAATGTTATCAAAGATTAATAACTTATATCTAATTAATTCAGTTGACTTACATTGAAATCGAACACGATCTTAAGTCATTGCAATTTGTTTGTTATACGTTAGCCTTTTGTTAGCTTCAGTAAGCTTTAATTCCAAAAAATGGAACGATTAATGCAATTAAAAACGGAGAATTTTCTCATGTCAGCCTTACATTTTAATAAAATATGTTCCTATATCATTCGATAGAGGGAAAAAAAGAAGAACCACACTTTTTCTTTTATCAGTCAGGTCAGCCGTTCGCGAGAAATATGGTTCTAAAATGTTCTGAAGTAATTCATATAGAAATATAGCAGTGATGGCGCAGCAGTAGCGTTGTGGCCAGACTGGGCATTTACATATTTACGTGTTTAAAAACAGGAGCCCATAATTGAGCTCCTATTTTTAAACACGTTTACATGTGCATGCCAAAAGCCATGTGACAAAAGGAAACGTTATAAGTTTTTCTAATTTCCCGAAACAAAGTGTTCATTAGTAGATTGTGATAGAAATGCTTTCATTTCATGTGCTCATTGAAAGCAATTAATTAGTTTTAAACGTTTTATTATTCCTTTACATTTACTGTACATTAAATCATAATAAGTAAAAATCTCGAACAGAATAAATCATTCCATACTCCCAGTCTGACCACAATGATACCACTATATCGTCAATGCTATATTTCTATATCAATTACATTAGAACATTTTAGAACCCTATTTCATTCATTTAGTTTCAGTGGAAATTTTAGCAAATATTTTTACATTTATTTGTCTCTATTCATAATTACGTTTTATTTTATATCCACGTATTTCTGGTCTAATATAGTAATTTTACTCAAAACAGTAATTTAAGTAATCAAGCATAAGAAGATAAAGATAATAATTCAAAAATGTTTCTTAAAAGAAGAGTTAATTTTTATATATCATTGAAGTGAAGAATATCGTTCATTTTTTGTGGCAGACTATATGGACAATAACTGAATTCTAATATTCATTTTATAATATTGATTTAATATATTAATTAATACAAATTAGCCGGCAGTGTTTGTTTACTATTACTTTCAGTTATTTTTGCTGTTTTCTAAATGTTATTGATAAAATTTTTGATAATCAATATACAATCAAATGTATTTTAATAGAAACAATTATAACAAAACGAACAACTATTTTATTTTGACATTGTCACAATGCAATTTTTAATTATATTATTTTTAATTTATTTAATTTAAAATATATGCTCTCCCTACATTTTAGTATAGCCTTACCTCTGTACATCATATTTTTTCTGACAACAGTAGAATCATGCCGGTCATCTACCTAACTCTGTTCTGGGAAAAATTTTTGAATTAAAATAACACGACTTCCAGTCTATACCGGAAGTTCGTATATAGTTAATCGGGATCTCCTGCCCCTAATCTTTCCATATTTGGTCTCAACTTTCATCTAGCACCATTCTTGAGATTAGAGGAGGACAGACAGTGGGAATTTACAGTGCTACAATTTTTTCAAATTGCAGCCCAATAACAACACAGCACTATTGACACCCATAGAGGAGCAAACACTGCACGTAACAGTGCACTTGTCTTTCCGCAGGATCGAGTAAAATATTCCACAAATTATAATCGTAAAAGTGATTGAGATACCTAACCTTACACTTTCCACCATAGACGCTTTGATGCAGTACTGTATTTTATATTCTAATTGTAAAAAACTCCCCAAAGATTAAATTATTAAATAACAATTTATTGATGTAATTATCTGTCTCCTAGTTTTGCCCCCACCCGGAAAATTTTCTGTGGATGACCATGCATAGCATTAAGAAAGTTCAAATCTGCAATTTACTAACATCACTGGCTTAAGACAATTTCACTACTTAAAAACTTTTACATGCACTTAATGTAGGGGAGACCGGGGCAAGATCGGCATGTTAAGCTTTACTTAAATTTTGTGTAATAAATACTGCTGTAAACTGAAAAAAAAGCTTTGCATATTGTCTATTGGAATGTTACCTTACTATAGAACTGGTTAAAATCAGTTTGGAAATAAAAATAATTAAAATAATTACAACTTTACAAGAAGAGAGAAATTGACGAAGTTGCCCCGGGTATAGGGGCAAGATCGGCAACTTCTCTCTTTTTGTAAAGTTGTAATTATTTTAATTATTTTTATTAAAGTTGCCCCTGGTATAGGGGCAACAGTAATGGGGCAAGATAGGCACGTATATAAAATTATGTTATTAACAATGTATAAGTTGGAATTCACTATTAAAACAAAGAAATACAAATCCAACACCCATTTAATATTATTACAACGAAATGCAAGTTCAAAGACATATATACATGAATAACAAATGCAAACATGTTTTCATTTATCATCTGTTTGATTTTTATCCTTTGCTTCTAATGTGGCTTTATGTTGCCGATCTTACCCCGCTAGTCATGATTTCGAAACATTAAGTACAACCCTGAGAACAGAATGCCAAGCCACGATCTGGCCACGTGAATAAGTTGAAGTTACATCCTTCTAACAGGAAAAGTAACTTTCGTTATCATGGAATTATAACAAAACCTGCCAATTCAATATAAATGGAAAAAAAATATTATATGGAATTGAACGAAAATGAAAATTTGCTTGATAATTCAACTACGCTTGTTGGAGAACAATAAAAACACTACACTCAACAAGCCACCAATAAAACTCAACTGCCTAACCTATAACCAAAGTCTCCTTTTAATTTGTTTTTAAAAAAAAGCACTTGACAAACTTGCCCCGCATGCCGAAGTTGCCCCAGTCTCCCCTACTGACTATGGAATTACTTCAAAGATTAATAAATTTTTAGATTCTATACAGATTTACACTAAAGATACTGGTCAATAAATTACATCACCTTTAAATTTTTATCTACTGTTTTCTTTTATACATTCATTTATAAAAAGAAATAAAATCTTATTACTTTTATCAGGTTTTATACTATTAAGTATCTTTCAACCTTATCTTTTTTTTTATTTGAGCATTGTTCACTCCAAGATATATAAAAAAAATTACTAATAAAATAAAACAGAAAAATTTAAAAGAATTCTTCAGAACCAACTAAGTCAAATGTAATCCAACTGGTATCTATAAACCTTTTACTGGTAAAAGGTTTATAGATACAAGTTGGATTACAGTAATAGGGTGCAGATATTCCACCATTTTAAGTCAAATGGCTAAATAATTTCAAAATCTACATTGTAAATTTGAAATTATATTTTAATATTTTATTATTAACATTATAAAATTTAATTTCAAGCAAGACTTATATTTAAACTACTCTATATTATTATTAGTCTCACAAAACTTATTATTTATTCAGTTTAATTCAACATGGTGGTATTTTTAGTAGTTTTTCTATTATTTATTTATATAATATGACCAATACATTGAGAAATAAAAGTATATTATAAAATTTCAAAATGTATAATTTGTTTTAGTAAAGGAATGAAGTCATTGCTATTTAAATTTAAAGTACTTGTTACTAGGTGGCAATACAGAAAAAAGAATTTAATGATTAGTAAAAAAAATCAAGTTTCATAATTTCTTATAAAGCATTTGTTTCATAAATTGATAAGATAAATCTAAGAATTAGAAAACATTAATAAATTTGTAGAAATCCAAGATATAATTCTTTATTTTAATCTACATGGAAGACATATTTACAACATAAAAATTCTTAAAGTGAATAGCACTAAGTTAACACAGACCAAATAAATCTTATTTATACATTATGAAAAAAAAAATATGTAATTAATAAAACTTGTAAACGAATAATAACTACTTGAAATGCAAATTATGCTGTAAAATAGAATTTTTTCTAGTAGATTAATTTTATCAAACATAACAATAATCATATTAATTTTAAGCTGTACTTCAGATAAATTTTACAGTGTATATACTTTAATCCAGACCTAAATTATCAAAAATGTTAAAATTAATATTATAACACAGTCAGTGGTATAGCAAAGGTGTAGCCAGTGTGGCTTAGCCTTAGGTGTCAATTAAAGGTACCACTGTTTTATTTTATTTATTTAATCAATAATAATTACATATTTTGTAAACTTGAAAGTACTGTAAATACATATATCTGTGCATCAAGAAGCTTTCTATTTTCTACCATGTATTGGGAGCATTTACATTTGTATTATATAGGTCTGCATAAGGAAATTTTGTTGTTGTTATGCCACTGAGCACAGTATACCATTTGCTTGAAATGAATATTTCTCAATATTTATATAAATTCAAAAATATTAAATAATACTTTAACATAAAAATTAATTGATTCAGATATAAAATACTTTAAAATGGAAATTTAAAAAAATATTACATATAACTCTTAATAATTATTGTGACATTGTCATAATGCCAGACTACAATTTTTAATCAAATTTTAATATAAAAATAAGCTCTCCATATCTGGTCTCTATTTTCATCTATTAAACTCTGTTCTTTAGATTATCAAAGGATGGATACACAGACAGACAGCTGGACAAAAGTGGAAATGTGTATTATAGGTCTGCAATTTGAGAATTGAAACCCAAAAACTGAAATTTTAAAATATACTCATGGAGAAATCAAAACTATATTTTGTATGAATTAGATCAAAACTAAGTTACATGCTGCCAGTATTAGGTAAATTACTGATTTTTTAAATCAGTTAGAAAATTATATTTGTTACACAAAAAAAATTAAAATTTTCTATCTTCTGTATATAATTTTCATTCATAATAATCATTTCTATTAATTACATAATATTAATAATCTTATTAATATGCTCTTATATATATATAATGCATCATCACATTTAAAATTTCATTTTAAAGAATAAATTGTTTAGTTGTAGTGCAAAAAGTTTTAAATAGTACCATTCAGCAGAAAATTATATAATTACTGATAATAGCAACATTTCTAAAAACACCATTAAACTTATATTTTAATAATACTGTAATGACTCACTTTGATTTTTCAACTGTTTTCTTTATCATTGAATTTTTAAAAAGTTCCCGGTTTAGAAAACATAATCCTCCTTCGTAATAATAGATTATGATATTTTCTAATTCAACACACTAGATATAAAAATTATTTTAAAAAAGTTATACATATATGTGTGTAATTAGCATGTAAGAGAAAAAGTATTTCTATATTATTTTACAATATACCTTAGTGTATCTTTTGGCATCCATGTAAATTTCAGTATTAGGTAAATTACCAAGCGTGATTAAATTAGGTCTGTAAAAAAATATGGTTAAATAACTTTTAGATTTTATTTTCACTTGAATCTAAAGCAATAATTGATAAATTAAAAATTAATGTTAATATCATAATATTTGTAAACAAATACAGTGGTGCCTCGTATAACGTACGCCTCGAATAACGGACGCTGCGAAAGACAGACTTTCTGTTTGGCTGTTACGTGACTCAAGCAACAAACTGGTTGCGGACAACGGACTTTCCGTTCGGCAGTTACATGAGGCAACCAATGGACTTTCTATGAACAAGTGCGAATGATGTTTCCACTCTTTTGCCATTGCCAATGACAATATGTTATTTTTATAATATATTAGTATTATTAGAATATATTATCAGTATATCTAAAGTACAGAGCGTTGGGATTAGGCTTGCTCCCTTGTTTATTAGGTACATCAACACAGTGCAGGGTATTTACATTTATTCAAGTGTTGTGCAAATCATGTCTTCTAAAAAAACAGAAAAGTGATTTCAATTGAAACAATGCAAGAAATCATCAGAAGGAGTGAAAGTTGACAAAAACTTCCTTGTCAAATGGGGAGAGGTTCANAATAATTTCAAAATCTACATTGTAAATTTGAAATTATATTTTAATATTTTATTATTAACATTATAAAATTTAATTTCAAGCAAGACTTATATTTAAACTACTCTATATTATTATTAGTCTCACAAAACTTATTATTTATTCAGTTTAATTCAACATGGTGGTATTTTTAGTAGTTTTTCTATTATTTATTTATATAATATGACCAATACATTGAGAAATAAAAGTATATTATAAAATTTCAAAATGTATAATTTGTTTTAGTAAAGGAATGAAGTCATTGCTATTTAAATTTAAAGTACTTGTTACTAGGTGGCAATACAGAAAAAAGAATTTAATGATTAGTAAAAAAAATCAAGTTTCATAATTTCTTATAAAGCATTTGTTTCATAAATTGATAAGATAAATCTAAGAATTAGAAAACATTAATAAATTTGTAGAAATCCAAGATATAATTCTTTATTTTAATCTACATGGAAGACATATTTACAACATAAAAATTCTTAAAGTGAATAGCACTAAGTTAACACAGACCAAATAAATCTTATTTATACATTATGAAAAAAAAATATGTAATTAATAAAACTTGTAAACGAATAATAACTACTTGAAATGCAAATTATGCTGTAAAATAGAATTTTTTCTAGTAGATTAATTTTATCAAACATAACAATAATCATATTAATTTTAAGCTGTACTTCAGATAAATTTTACAGTGTATATACTTTAATCCAGACCTAAATTATCAAAAATGTTAAAATTAATATTATAACACAGTCAGTGGTATAGCAAAGGTGTAGCCAGTGTGGCTTAGCCTTAGGTGTCAATTAAAGGTACCACTGTTTTATTTTATTTATTTAATCAATAATAATTACATATTTTGTAAACTTGAAAGTACTGTAAATACATATATCTGTGCATCAAGAAGCTTTCTATTTTCTACCATGTATTGGGAGCATTTACATTTGTATTATATAGGTCTGCATAAGGAAATTTTGTTGTTGTTATGCCACTGAGCACAGTATACCATTTGCTTGAAATGAATATTTCTCAATATTTATATAAATTCAAAAATATTAAATAATACTTTAACATAAAAATTAATTGATTCAGATATAAAATACTTTAAAATGGAAATTTAAAAAAATATTACATATAACTCTTAATAATTATTGTGACATTGTCATAATGCCAGACTACAATTTTTAATCAAATTTTAATATAAAAATAAGCTCTCCATATCTGGTCTCTATTTTCATCTATTAAACTCTGTTCTTTAGATTATCAAAGGATGGATACACAGACAGACAGCTGGACAAAAGTGGAAATGTGTATTATAGGTCTGCAATTTGAGAATTGAAACCCAAAAACTGAAATTTTAAAATATACTCATGGAGAAATCAAAACTATATTTTGTATGAATTAGATCAAAACTAAGTTACATGCTGCCAGTATTAGGTAAATTACTGATTTTTTAAATCAGTTAGAAAATTATATTTGTTACACAAAAAAAATTAAAATTTTCTATCTTCTGTATATAATTTTCATTCATAATAATCATTTCTATTAATTACATAATATTAATAATCTTATTAATATGCTCTTATATATATATAATGCATCATCACATTTAAAATTTCATTTTAAAGAATAAATTGTTTAGTTGTAGTGCAAAAAGTTTTAAATAGTACCATTCAGCAGAAAATTATATAATTACTGATAATAGCAACATTTCTAAAAACACCATTAAACTTATATTTTAATAATACTGTAATGACTCACTTTGATTTTTCAACTGTTTTCTTTATCATTGAATTTTTAAAAAGTTCCCGGTTTAGAAAACATAATCCTCCTTCGTAATAATAGATTATGATATTTTCTAATTCAACACACTAGATATAAAAATTATTTTAAAAAAGTTATACATATATGTGTGTAATTAGCATGTAAGAGAAAAAGTATTTCTATATTATTTTACAATATACCTTAGTGTATCTTTTGGCATCCATGTAAATTTCAGTATTAGGTAAATTACCAAGCGTGATTAAATTAGGTCTGTAAAAAAATATGGTTAAATAACTTTTAGATTTTATTTTCACTTGAATCTAAAGCAATAATTGATAAATTAAAAATTAATGTTAATATCATAATATTTGTAAACAAATACAGTGGTGCCTCGTATAACGTACGCCTCGAATAACGGACGCTGCGAAAGACAGACTTTCTGTTTGGCTGTTACGTGACTCAAGCAACAAACTGGTTGCGGACAACGGACTTTCCGTTCGGCAGTTACATGAGGCAACCAATGGACTTTCTATGAACAAGTGCGAATGATGTTTCCACTCTTTTGCCATTGCCAATGACAATATGTTATTTTTATAATATATTAGTATTATTAGAATATATTATCAGTATATCTAAAGTACAGAGCGTTGGGATTAGGCTTGCTCCCTTGTTTATTAGGTACATCAACACAGTGCAGGGTATTTACATTTATTCAAGTGTTGTGCAAATCATGTCTTCTAAAAAAACAGAAAAGTGATTTCAATTGAAACAATGCAAGAAATCATCAGAAGGAGTGAAAGTTGACAAAAACTTCCTTGTCAAATGGGGAGAGGTTCA